GTGGGGGTGGGCTTCGGTTGGTGGCGGCGTCCATCTCCGGGGGCGGCTGTCCGCGCGGAAGGCCACGCCGCGGCTCACACGGGGGTGGTCCGCCGGTTCAGCATGCTGAGGTGGAAGCCCTCCTTGAGGTCCTGCTGCAGGAAGTCGTGCACCTGCAGGAAGCTGGCCTCCTGGTCAGGGCTGTAGCTGGCGGCCGTGGTCACCTTGAGGGGCTCGCGGGTCAGCGTGTACATGGACAGCTCGCCCATGGGTATGGCACCCGAGATCTTCAGGCCCACGGGGGACGCGTCCCTGGAGGGCGAGGCCTCCGTGGAGCGCGAGCTGGAGCGCGAGCGTCGCCGGCGGTAGCGGTAGCTGGGCATCCGGGCGTAGGGGGAGGAGGAGGCCGCCTTGAGGAACTCGCGCTTGGTCTTAAACCTCAGCTCCTTGTTCTTCTCGATGTAAATGTTCACCGCCAGCACGCCCACCGTCTCGGCCACGATGAACGACAAAGCTCCAAAGTAGAAGGACCAGCCATAGTTGTAGTGGTGCTTCTTGTCCTCCTCCCGCTTGTCACTGGGGTCGCCCGTGTTGCTGGAGATGTAGACGATGATGCCGATGATGTTGCTGAGGCCTGCCGGGGAGAGGCAGCGGTTAGACCCACAGCTGGACTGCTGGGCCTGGAGCAGGTCGCAGGAGGGGCCTGTGGCCTTCCCCCCTGGTCAGCCTATCTTTGTTCTGGGAGCTCATTTGTCTTTTAATTCATGAATTCTGATTGGGTGTCAGGAAGCAAGAGTCCAGTGACAGATGTGATAAAACACAGCCGCCTGGCCACCGGGTTCTCTTCCTGTACGTGAGGAAAGGCTTCTTTCTTAGATCATTCTGGGGGAGTCTCTCTTGCTCTCTCTCATACACCCCCCTCATATACATACACATTTTTCTCACACACACCAGTATATACACAGACATGTATTTCTGGGGAGGCTCTCACTTTCTCTCACTCTCACATAAGTATGGCATACACACACACATACCCCTCTCATATATACAGTTGGCTCTCACACACATACACCCCTCTTACTCTCACACACCCACCTCTCTCTCTCTCTCTCTATATATATATATATATAATGTATATATATATATGGCTCTCTTTCACACATACACACACCTTTCATATATACATATTTCTCTCATATATACATAAGGCTTTCTCATACCCACACTAGTGCATGCACAGACATTTTTGGTCACATGATACTCTTGGCCCCTTGCTTGTTTACCCAGCTGCACATCTGAGAGCTGGATCAGGTCATGAAAAGCTGCCTCCATCTTTTCGCAACTGCCACTCACCATATGGGGTCTCACTATCTGCTACACACTGAATTGTGTCCCATCTAAAAGACAGGTTCATTCCTAACCCCTGTTCCAAGGAGTACCAGGGACACCATGGGTTAAACATTGGGCTGGTGACTGAAAGGTCAGTGGGTCAGACTGAGCTGCTACACAGGAGAACAATGTGCTGGGCCACTTCCATAAGGAGGGCAACCCTGGAAACCCTGTGGGCAGTTCAGCTTGGTGCTGTTGGGTCCACAAGTTAACACTACCTCAGTGGCAAGGGCAGCTCTAGGACCTGTGAACGTGGCCCTGTTTGGAAATAGGTCTTTGAGGATTTGTGTTAATATGATGTCATATTGATCCTAAATGACTGTGAGGGTGTCCTTGTAGAAGGGGAGAGATTCGGTTCTGGGGTTGACAGTTCTTTGCCACTGTGGCCCTGAGCCACGCACAGTGTCTGGGTTCCTGTGGGGTAGCTGGGTTAGCATAATCTTCCTTTTTTCCTTGGGAAAACAAGCTCCACAACAGTATTCAGATACCACAGCAGGGACTTCCTGAAGGCCTCACACCTTGAGAAATCTAATGACTTATTAAAGGAGGCAGGGGAGGGGAGAAGGGGGAAGAAGGAGAGTGGCAAGGGTGTGTCCCTGCCCTCTGCCTGGCCCCATGTGACGAGAAGAGACAGGAAGGGGTGAAGGGGAGGGTAGCACAAGTACAGAACAAGGGCATGAACTGCTGTGGAGATGCTGACACAGGCTCCCCTGCCAACACCCACACAGTACGCGCCACACACCACACTCTTCGTACATTCCCACACTGCGCTCCTCAGATACACACAGCACATGTACCCACACATACCATGCCTCAGACACAACACATGGATGCACATCACACACACACACACACACACACACACACACACTATACTCCTCAAACACAAGACATGTACACACACACTATACTTAAATAAACACAAGACATGAACACAAACAAACTTAGACATGTACTACCCACATATTTACATACACAGGACCCAGGAAAGCTTGCTGAGCATGGATTAGAAAGCCCCCATGTTTCTAATGCATGCTCATTCCGATGTGGTGGTTAAGTGCTTAGCCGCCAACAGAAAGGCGAAAGGTCCAAATCCACCTGCTGCTCCAGGAGAGAAAGATGTGCCCATCTGCTTCTGTAAAGATTCCAGCCTTAGAAATAGGGTCATTGTGAGTTGGAATTGACTCAATGGCAATGATTTCTTGTCTTGGACCCCGGGCTCTGTCCTCTCACCCCGTTCCTCTTCTCCACCTCTCCTACTCAGAGTTTTCCTCTGATACAGGTGTTCAGCACCTGGCACTCCTTCTTTGGGGCATTCTGTACAACTGGACCTTTCAAGCTATTTACCCAGCCAGTGGTAGTTTTTCACCCAGATGGTGGTTTTTGAACTGTTGACCTGTGGTTAGCAAGCCCAACATGTAACTCACTATGTTAACCGGGGTCCTCGAACATAGACATAGCCAGACACTGTTTCAAAAATCTCTGCTCAAACAACTCAGTGACCTTGAGACCCTGATACCTTCTTCCAGTTGTGCAAACACATCGTTCTACCCCCAATTTTTCCACCACCATCAACTGACATGCCCTCTGAGCTGCTCATCTAACCTTTCTTGTTGCAGTGGTGGATTTGATCTCACAGAGCATAGTGCCCCAGGCAGACACACTTTAGTTATTACGATAAACTAGTTTTTGGTTCAGGGGGCAGTTTTTGATTTTAAGTCTAAAGATCTCAAGACTATGGTTTTGGGGAGAGCGGACGGGGGCATTTATCCAGGCTCAATGATTCAAGAAAGTCTGGGTCAAAAAACGATTTGTAATTCTGTTCCACATCCTTCCCCCTTTTGATCAGGATTCTCCTATAGACTGTGGTCAAAACAGTCAGTAATGGCAGGCTCACTGGGTTTTTAGTGGCCTATTTCTCAGAAGTAGATTGCCAGGCCTTTCTTCCAAGGAACAGAAGCTGAGCTCAAACTTCCAGCCTTTGGGTTAGCAGGGGAGGGGCGGTCATGGTTTCACCACCCACGGACTCTTCCCAAGGTCATGGGGCCCACCCCATTGACTGCACACTTCCCATGTGCCCCTCCCCTGGTCCCATCCGGCCACCCAGAGTGAGCAGCCGAGTGAAAGGGCTTACCTGCAGCCACAAAGAGGATGCCCGCACTGAGGACGATGTTGTTCTTGCGGCTGTAGATTCGCCCTGCACCGATGCAGAGCCCCCCAAGCAGGAGAAGGATAGTGCTGAGGATGGGGAAGATGCTGGAGGCACGCACGATGCCTGGGCCGGGCAGGAGACAAACACAGAGGCAAGTGAGGCCGGCTGCCTGTCTGGGCGAGCAGTGCCCATTCCCAGGGGCCTGGTGGCTCCAGGTCCACCCCCTGGGTTTGAAGATCCCCACCAGGGTCTGGAGACCTGAGATGTGACTCCTGGGTGTGGGCTGCCTCCTGCCATGCCCAAGGGAAGAGAGAGTCCCTGGGGACCATGGAGGCCACAGTAGCAGTCTTGAGCATCCTGGGCTGCATCACCTTCCCACGACACCTCCCAGCCCACGAAGCCCTTCTAGGACGCTTCCAGTATGGTGGGAAGTGGCACCCACAGAGGCTTTGGCATTGGATGGGCCTGGGTGTGGGTCCCTGCCTGCTCTGTGTGCCCTGAGTCAAGCCCCCTCACCGCTCCATGACTCAGTTTCTTCATAAGTACCTATTCACAGTACCTATTTCCTGTGGTCAGGCTTGTGCCTGTTAGTGCAGGGCCAGGTCCTAGGACTTGCCTCCTAGGTGGCAACCTTCAGCATCCTCACCATCATCTTCTTCCCCAGGGGCCAGCTGAGGAAGTGGAAAGTCAGGACATGCTCAAGGTCATAGAGGTGGGGCCCTGGCAGATCAGGTGCCCATGGACCTTGGTGCCCAGCAGACCTAAATTTAGAGCCCTGCTCTGCCACTCACTAGCTGGGAAATCAGGGGCCACTCCCATTACCACCTAGGCTCCCTCTTTTATGACCCAGGAGCGATTAATAATATCCTCCTGCAGGGGGTTAAATTGTGCCCCCCGCCACTACCAAGAGACAAAACTCCCACTAGGAGCCCTGGTACTGTGGTGAGTTATGAGTTGGGCTGCTAACCTCTAGGTCAGCAGTTCGGAACAATCAGCCCTCCACAGGAGAAAGAAGAGGCTTTTTTATTCCCCTTAAAGAGTTACAGTCTAGGAAACCCACAGGGGCTGTTCTACCTTGTCGGATAGGGTCGCTATCAGTCAGAATTGACTCGATAGCAGTTTTTTGGTTCAAGAAACAAGTGCTTATCCTATCCCCCCACAGCTATGATGTGATCCCTCGTGGAAGAAGGGTCTTTACAGATGTTGTCAGTGAAAGGTCTCAAGATGAGGTCATCCTGGATGAACCAGCTGGACCCTACAGCCAATGACAAGTCTCCTGAGACAAGGAAAGCAGAGGGAGATTTGAAACGGGGCGAGATGACAAGGAGCTGTGAAGATAGAGGTTGGAGTGGTGTTGCCACTAGCCAAGGAAACCAGGAGCCATTCAGAGCTGGAAGGGGCAGGGAAGATGCTCCCCCAGAGCCCCGGGGGGAGCCAGGCACTGCTGACCCCTGGCTTTCAGAGCTGCAAGAGCATCCAATTCTATTGCATCCAGCTCCTGAGCTTGGGTAACTTGTGATGGCGGCCCTATTTTCATGGCTGTCAAGTTGCCACCAACTCATGGTGACCTCATGTACAATAGACTACTGTCTAGTCTGTCTGCCCATCCCATGGTCCACTGGGGACGGGCCCATTGTGGGCCATAGGGTTTTCAGAAGTGGGTCACTAGGCCTTTCTTCCTGGTCTGTCTTCAGATAAAAGCTCCTCTGAGACCTGTTGAGCTCAAAGCCACGCACAAGCCTCCGCTGACCCTGAGTGGTGGCTGCACCAAGGAGCACAGGCTAGGGACAGAACCCAGGTCTCCTACCTGAGGGGTAGGGATTCGCCCTGGGAAGTGAGTATACAGCTCCATGTGGGCGGGGGCCCCACTTCTCTGAGCATCTGAGGCTGGGAGAGGGCAGGCAGAGGAAAAAAAGTAGTGTGGGAGTGGGGGTGAATGCAGGAAGCCCCCAGCTCAGCCTCCATGTGCCCTGGCCTCGCAGCCCAATTGAAATCCCAGCCACCCCAGCCTGGACAGGGAGTCAGGAGCACTTGCTGGCGCCAGCCTCCTCAGGCAGCTGAGCTGGTTTGGGCCCTTTCAGTCTCTGAAGGCAGCGTTTGTCTTCTTTGTAAGTCCCCTAGTGTGTGCTCCTTGCTTCACAGAGAGGAGACTGTTTGGGGCACTAAATGCAGCCCTTCTCTCCCCCCCACCCCCACCCCCCACCTGTGTATCTCTTAGTAGTGCATGTTTGGGGATGAGGTTTCCCCTGTGCTTTTGAAATGTGCCCTGAGCTGTGCCGCCAAAAGCCAATGCTTGCTTCTGCAGTGCTTGCTTCTGCAGTCAGGACGGAGGGGTGGTGCCCCGGGGGCATAATCCAGGGAGTCTGGTGCCTCTAATGTCACCGAGGACCTGGCCTGGCTCAGGGCATCTGCACTGCCCAGCTGAGTCTTGTGAGCACCTGTCCCTTCAGTTCTAAAGATGCAAATGCTGACTGGGGTTGCTGTGGACAGAGGTGCAGGTCGGGCACTGCACAAAGCGCATGGCTGGAGTTCAGCCTGTGTTCCCCAATCTAGCCCTGGGTGGATCTGCCTGTCTGCAGGATGGACCCCTCCTTCTAACTCATTCTGAGACACCCACAGCAGCTGGACATGACTGAGGTACATTGTGAACCCACAGCAGCCTGTATGGAGGTAATACCAACAATCTGGAAATGCGGAGCTTGGAAAGGACCCAGGGCAGGTGGACAGGACCTTCTGGAGAGAAAGGGGACAGACTGGGTGTGGGGCGGTGACCTTTGAATCCTGTGGGACAGGCATCACTTGGACCTGGATCTGCAAACCAGCAGAGACATTGGCAAGAGGCCCTGCAACAGCAGCACAACTTGGAACAGAAGCCTGAAGTCACAGGAAGGCTCCAGAACGCACTGGAGAGGTTGACTTCATTCCTGGCTCATTGAAGACAGGATATGGGCCCACAGCCTGGGGCCAGCAGGTTCTGTGTGCTACACTGGGGCGCTGAGTGAGTGGCTGGCAAACAGGCTCTCCCAACAGGGGGCAGTGCCGTGGAACTTCCCCCTACCTATGTCAGCAGCCCCGCTCCACTAAGGAGCCCTGGTGGAGGAGTAGGGCACACACTGGACTGCTACTCTGTCCCTCAGGATCACAATGAGTCAGAATCGACTTGGTGGCAGAATTGACTTGGCTTTTGAGTTGGCTCTCTACTAGAATGTCAGCCCCAGGAGGGTGTCACTGTTTCATGGATTGGATTGTGTCCCCCGCTGTTCCCCCAAATATGTGTCAACTAGGTCCTGATTCTCAGTTTCGAGTCTTGTCTGCCATTTTGTGATGCGTTGTAGTGGCTAGCTTCTGCTTGTGGTCCATGAGGCGGGGTAAGTTGTTTTCTAAATGAATGAGGCAAAATTAGTATGGGCTTCATCACCCTTATTCAGGTCCATGCCTTGAGGGAATTTCCCTGGGTAGTGGCTCACATCACCTTTTCTTTCCTAAGCCAAATGCTCACTGCTGGGGAGTCCATTCTGACTTCATAGTGACCCTATAGGGCAGGATGAAAGTGCCCTGTGGGTTTCTGAGACTGTAACAGCTTACAGGAGTGGAAAGCCTCCTCGTGCTCCTGTGGAGTGGTTGGTGGTTTCAAAGTGCCGACTTTTTGTTAGCAGCCCAACTCGTAACCACTATGCCACCAGAGTCCTTTCATCTTCTGAGATAGAAAGTGAGAGAGAAGCGAGCAGACAGAGAAGGACCTGATGACCCCCAAGAAGAGCTGGGAATGGAGGGTGTCGATTAGACCTGGGGCTCCTGAGCTGACCACCTCGGAGGCCCAGGCACAGACTGATGCGAGACATGACACAGAGCTCTGGGGCTCTGCACAGAGTGCCAGGCCCACAGAGGCTGAAAAAGGCCCGGGCCTCTGCCTAGAGCCCACAGAGAGATGGGGCCCTGAATCTGGGCTTCTGCCCCCCAGAGGCCCCCCTTCCATGCTTCTGCATATTTTAGGGATCATCAGTCTGGACCTAGGCCCAAGGAACAGAGAACGGATGCCTTAAAATGCTGGTGGCAAAAAGAAACAAATCTGTCTTGGCTGAAATATAATCAGAATACTCCTCAGAATCGAGGATGGTGAGACTTCCTCTCACACACTTTGGACGTGTCCTCAGGAGGAAGGACTGGTTGGTAAAGTAGAGGGCCAGTGAAACAGGAAGACCCTCCAGGAGATGGATGGCCACTGTGGCTCAGCAGCGAGCTCCAACACAGCCACAGTGGCGTGGGCCCAGGCCGGGTTCTCTTCTGTACGTAGGGTTGCTGAGTCAGAATCGGCTGGACAGCACCTAGCAACAGTCCACTGCATGGCCCTGAGTTTGGTTTGGAACAACAACAAGTCTTGGAAACTGAGAGAGTAAATTTATGTTTGTGGCATTTCTGTCACGGCAGCCCTAAATGGACTAAGACAGTCCATTTGTTTGCCTTTATATCCCAAGGGCCTGATCCAGAGCCTGGCACCTAGTATGCACACACACAAATTCATAAACAGTTTTTTGATGTATAATTCACCTATCATACCATTCAAAGGTTTGAACAGATTAAAAAGGGTTGTGCAATCATCGCCATAATACGTTTTAGAACACTCTCTTCATTCTTGCACTCATTATTTGCTCCCCATTTCGCCTACCTTCCCTAAGAAACGCCTGATACAGTTACTGTCTCTGTAGCTGTGCCTGGATTTCCTATCAACAAAAACATACCCCCCTGCAAAGAAACCTCCAACAACAATAACAAAATAAAGCCTCAATCAAAAAAGAAAGTAGAAAATAATAAATTCTAGACCAAATTTAAAATGGGTCCAAAGGGAGAACAAATGATAAGGTGTTAAATTTTAACCAAACTACATCTGCACAAGTCCACTTTCCAGTGCACTCTGTCTGCTAGCAAGGTTATTCACAACCCTGGTCAATGGTCAGAGGGACTTAATCCATGTGGGGCCCTGAACATGAATTTTTGGCTTTCACTGTCAACTATGAGGCCCACAATTTAAAACGGAGTAAACAGACGAATTCTCAGAGAGCTTCACATCTTGAAAATGTCAGCCCAGGGGCCGCTCTCCGAGGCTTCTGCATGCTTTTCTGATTTGTACTCGGGCCTGAAACTTGGACACTGGGAAGCATGGTGGCCTGGGAAACAGACGTGCTGGTTCTGGTGACCAGGATCTTGGGCTGCCCTGCAAAGCTGCTCCCTCTCTTCTGGAGCTGCTGGTAGGTTTGAACCACCAATCTTGCAGACGAAAGCATAACCCACTATATCATGGGACTCCTTACAGGCCTCTGCATGTGGAAGTAAAGGGCCGTGATATACTTGGCTGCAGCATCAGACATCCCTGTTGCTGTAGCCCCTGTTGGGGAGCTGGCTCTGTCTGCCCCCAGTTCCACGGGCAGCTGGAGAACAAGCCCCTATAGCTTCTCTGCCTAGGCATCTTGGGGCTGGTTGAGACCCCGGCTGGTCTGCCCCCAGGGGACACTTAGGGACAGTATTTCCATCCCAAAGGAACTTTCACTGCTGCTGTGCTTTCACCCTCTGTGATTCCAGAAAAGCCTGTGGACCCAGTGCTTGCCCAACCTCCTGAACTGCTGGTTTGAGGCTGTCAGGGAGCAGGGCCCTGTCTCATGGGCTGTGTGCTCTGATGCTCCACACCCTCTGGAGGCTGACCTTGCTTGGGGGTGACACGGGGCTCCCTGCACTCTGGCATCATGGGGGGGCCCAGGCAATGGAGTGATTCCTGGAGGGGGCAGGTGGGGGGAGGGGGCAGGACAAAGCGGCTGTGAGACTCCTACACTAAGACTTCAGAGCCTGCTCCTCACTGCTCCCCTCCTTGGGGCTCCCAGACCTGCCTCCCTCACCTGTCCACAGCCAGGATAGAAAGATGCCCTGCTGTTGCCAGCCCGGGAGTAGCCCCTTCCTTTCATGATTTCCTTAATCTTGTCGCTGCCTTCAGTAATAGTTATGAAACACTCTGTGTGAGCATGTCCACCTGCGTGCTGCTAGTACCTCAGGATGGCACCTGGCTGGCCTCTGGGCTGATGCATCAGGAGGCCAAACCAGGTGGAGATCTCCCCCCTGCAGACCACGAGGCAGGGAGGACAGTTGTGTGAGAGGAATGCTATTGAGAGCAGCCACAGCTCACAGTGACCCCATGCACAATAGAATGGCACACTGCCTGGCCTGTGCTAACCCCTTGATCGGTTGTGGATTGGACCACTGTGTTTTGTTGTGGCAGAATTGTGGAAGTAGATCACCAGGCCTTTCTTCCTACTCATCTTAGTATGGAAGTTCTGCAGATACCTATGCAGCCTCCTAGCAACACCTAAGTCTCCACTGTCAGAGGGGTGGTGTCCAGTGTTGGATTACTCAATATGCAGGGTAAGCACAGGTTCACTTGTACTCATGGACTGCTCTGTAGTGAACAATTCCACTTTTCTACCACATCAAAGATTCTGCTTCCAGGTATGGATGGCAATTATTTGTCCCTCTCCTAGCCTTCTCGTGGAATCAAAGCCTCTTTTCACGTTTATAGTTCCTGACAGATGGAGTACCCGGTAGGCAAGGTAAGCACGGCTCACCTACATTTACTTCCATCACTTTCTTCCTCCACATCATGTAGGGAAACTCATGTGCAATTGTTTGTTAAAGATTAGTAAGTAAACACAAGTAAGCTCATGCTTACCTTGCACGTTGAGTACTCCACCCCCGGAGGTGGCTGTGACTAGGGTACTGTCGCCGGAATTGAATCCCGGTCTCCCACAAGGCGGTGAAAATTCTACCACGGAGTCTCCAATGCCTGGGACTAGCTGGCATCCATGCCCATGACCTCAAAAAGTTCAGTCGACACCTACAGTTGGCACCCATGCCCATGACCTCAGGAAGTTGCTGGCACCCACAATTGGCACCGATGCCTTTGACCTCAGGAAGTTCAGTGGACAATGGTGAGGGAAATGCCTCCTGAGGGTCCCAGCATCTCTCTCCTCAGTCCGAGTTGGTCCCAAGGCAAGCCTGCCTCCAGAACCTTTAAGAACCACCTGATGGAGGAGGGCTGGGTAGAGAAGGCAGGTTGTGAGGTAGGGTTCATCTCCCACTGGGCTGAGCCCCAAGGCGGCCACAGGCAGCTGTGCAGGCCAGGTGTTCCACAGTTGAAGGGTGTTGCTCCTGTCACAGTGTATGCAAGTGGCTTCCCTCCCGGAGTGCAGTGTGCAGCCTGCACAACCATTGGTTGCCCTGAGGGCAGCCCATTTTCTCGGCTCCCTGTGGGCCTCAGCAGAAAGGGATGACAGGCAGTTGGGGGAGAAAAGGAGGTGAGGGGACACTGAAAGGAGGCTGAATTCTGGCCTGAAGATTTCAGGTTCTGGGCTTGGTGGGAGCAGGCTGCCACTGTCCCCAGGCTCCCTGGGAACTGCCTGTTGTTTCATTTCACTCCATGACTCAGAATCAAAAATCTTTCTCTTAGAAAAACCGATCCATGAGCAGGTGCCGAGTGAATTATGCTCTCTCTGAGAGCTCTGGTATCGATCGCCCATAAATGAAGCCGGTGTGCCCTAGGCGAGGGGCTGCTGTGAGGAGCTCTGCAGGTGTCCTGGCTAGTGGGAAAGGGGACCACGGCTTCCACATGCTGCTGTGGCCCTTTCCAGGCCCCAGCCCTGGCTGCAGCCCCTCCCTGCTCTCTCTGCCCTCCCCCAGGGAAGAGGCATGGGTCCAGGCGCTGGGCCTGGGCTGTCCTCTGGGGCTCAGCATATACTGGGCTCCAGTCTTGGGGTGTGGTCCAGGCAGGGCCAGGGGTTCAGGGCCAGCCCACAAACAGAGAGGCAGCTGTCCCCCTGATGCTAGCTCTGCCGCTCCCCACCCTCACCCTTCTCAGGGCATCCAGGCAGCCTCCTGGGATGGCCCATGCCCCCTGAGGCTGTGTGGCCCTAGTCTACATGGTCCAGCATAGAATGTTGAGGGTGGAGCAGGGCAATGGGCTTTGTACCACACGCCCCCTGCCCCCAGTGCCCAGCCTGGGCAGGGCAGACTCTGTATCTTTACTTTCCCTGGTCCCAGCTCGGGAGTCCTGCAGGCGCAATAGTTAAAGCACTAGACTGCCAACCCAAAGGTCCATGGTAGCGCCCTGGGAGAAAGGGAGGGGAGACTGCGCCTGTAAGATCCACAGCCCTGGAAACTGTACATGCTCGCGACCATCAACTACTGTCTGATGCCAGTGGGGTTGCCCCAGCTCCCGCCAACCAGCTCCTTGGAAGCTAGCCATGCCCATGTCAGTATCCACCTAGGCCTCAGTTCCCTGGCTGTGCACAGACCTCTCAGCCCAGCGCCTCTGTGGTGTCACCCACTAGCGACAGCAGCCCTCAACACAACTCCATCCTCGGAAGGATTCCGGGATCTGAGAGGGTGTGAGAACGCCCCCTCATGAGACAGGCACCTCCTCCCCACCTCAGGGCCTATCTCCCCTCCCCCAGTGGTAGTGAAGGGTTCAAACTCACGAAGAAGGTACTCCGAACTGTCGTGGTCATAATCGTTGTCCTCAGGGAAGTGATTGATCCGGAAACAGTGTCCTTTGTAGATCCCTGAGGAAACAAGGGGAAAGGATGTGACAAACGCCCTAAGGCTCTCAGGGAACAGGGGTGGAGGGGGGGTAGATGGGGGTGTATGTAGGGGCCTGGTTCAGGCAGCCCTGGGGTGGAGAGAGAAGACAGCACCCTACCCCCACCCCCACCCCCCACCCGAGGGAGGGCAGACTCAGAGTACAGCCACACAATGGACACCTTGGGGGTGTAGTAAGGGCAGGTCCTCTAAACCTGGGGCAGTGAGGAAGGCCCCCCAAGCAACTGCCGTGGATTCACGATATGTTCAAGTCGTAGACTCTGGTGCCTGCGCATTCGGCCCTGTTTGGTAAGCGTGTCATTGCCGATGTGGTCAGGTAAGCTACCAGGAGGTCATACCGGGGTGGGGTGGACCCCAACTCAGGCCGGTGTCCGGGCAAGAGGAGAAACAGCTAAATGACCCCTGAGGGAAGCAGTGTAAGCAGACAGTGGCAGGCTGGACGTCATACTGTCACAAGCCGAGACACACCCAGGGCCACCGGAATAATCCAGAAAAGGCAGGAGAGGACCCCTGTCCACCTCTGCTGTATCCAGTTGTCTGGGTGTGGTGTTTGTGATGGCGACCGTAGGACGAGGACACAGTGGTCTCACTGGACCCCATAGGTGGTCTCACTGGACCCCAGTGAGTGGTAGCCCCTCCTGGGACTACATGTGTCGCACAGCACTGCCCTGGGCCAGCAGGACACATGACCCCACACCCAAGGGGCTTGAGAAGTAGCAAGGAATTTGTCTGCTGGGACTGAAGGGATGTGGGTGGGTGAGGAGGCTTCCAGGCAGAGAAGACCAAGAGGTAGGTGCTGGGTGGGTTTGGGGTGCCGGAGAGTTCAGGGTCACTGGAGTCCAGTAGGGCATGGGGAAAGATGGGGAGGGGTCAGGAGGAAGCCTGGCTCTATCCCTTTCCCCCTCTTGAATGCAGTCATTGTGAGTCCACTCACGGCTACCGCCATATGCCACCCCCCTGTCAGTGTTATCAAAGGAGAAGGACGCAGGGCAGGACACCCCTCCAGAAGGGCTGAACCCCCTCCAGGGCTGGCCTTCCCTCCACTCTGAGAAGTGGAATGCACACAGTAGGAGGCACAACCCAGCCGTCCTTTCTGAATCTTCTCTCCTGTTCCCAGCCTCTGCTCCTATCAGAGCCGGACCCAGAGGCGGGGGTGGGGCACCCATGGTGTCATGCCTGGCTGACATCCCCCCCCTCCCAGGTCAGCCTCCCAACTCCTGCAGAGACAGAGAGCAAGTGGCTCATCCTGACACTGTGTGGTCAGGGCTGGGCTGTATCTAATGAGGGCCAGCATCTGCAGCTGCTGCCAAGCCTCCTGCTGGCCCCCAGCAGTCCTCGGGCGGTGCTTGACCTCACTGGAGTGAGTACAACCTTGGAGGCATCCCCCTCTCAGAACTTCCAACCAGGAGAGGCCTCTCCTTAGCTTGGCCACCCCACCTCCCAATTAGTGGCTCTCCCAGCTGGACTCCCTAACCCTCCCCACTGTGTCCTGTTACCAAAGAGCCAGGCTCCTAAAAGCCCGGTGTGCTGGCTGGGTCAGGAATCAGGGGAAGGTGGCATGGGGGTCTCAGAGGTAAACAAGGTTACTCACCCCGTTAGCCACCGCCTCTGTAGAAGGGGATTTCTGAAATACCTTTTTATTTATTCTCTTAGTCCTACAAAGTATGATTGTATAAGTACTTCTTTCTCATTGTGCAAAACCATACAGAATCTTTAAAGTGGTCCCTCTCCCCATTCCAAGAAGAATGATCAGAAACCATCCGAAATGTCCCATGTTTCGGGGACCTTATCCTGTGTGTGCAGATAATGGAAAGATGGATCGCTTGGCCAGGAGTCTGCCAGTCACCCTGTCACTTGACCTGTAGACAGTGTCCCTGGCCAGACAGGTCCATCCCATCTTTTGTGAGAGGGGCGGTCTTTGAATTGAGCTATGCCCCACCCTCTCAGTGGAGCAGGGACTCAGGAGGCTTCCTGTTATTGGTCCAACATGCCCAGGAAAGCCTGTCTGCTTCCTGCTCCTGAAGGGAATCATGTTCATGGGGGTAATGTGACAATCTCACAGCCTAGCAGTCGGTTCTAGGGGAGAGCTAAACCCAGTCAGGGTGGAGACTGTGTAGGCCCTGCCCCTCCCAATCCAGGCCCACCAGGACCCCTGCCACCCGCCCACCTGGGCCACCTCACATGTGGCTCCAGCCTCTATATCTGTAGAAGGGGGTAACTACTTCTATTACCTCACTGGATCTTAGGGGATTGTGGAGGCCACACGTGAAAGGCACTGGGGGTGGGGGGACTCTGGCTTCTAGTGATGGCTCATGGGGAGCCCTTATGTGACCACTCTCTGACCCCTGTGTTGTGGATCTCTCAGGAGTTGTGGGCATGAGAGCACATCTCTGAAGGGTCAGGAGGGTAGGGACATCCTTCCCACCTCAACTCCCCAGGGGAACCAAGGGCTGGCTCCCACAGAAAAGAGGCCTCCTGGTGGGGCTGGGGTCGGCAGGCTGTCTCCTCCCCTCGCCACGTCCTCTGGCTCCCACAGCACAGAGGTAACAGGCTCCCAGAGGAAGACAAGGTGTCCTCCTTGCAGTGGGGTGCTCTGCCCATCCTCCCCTCCCCACCAGTAGTTTTTCTGGCTACAAGAGGCTTCCAAACATTGAGAGATAATGGGTCTACACAACATCGCCATGTCTCATGCTTGTTGGAACAAGTTAAACACTAAGAGGCAGAAACAGAAAAACGAACTCTTGCCTCTCTTCAGATTCACAGGAACCGAGGTAGATGGCCAGCCCTGTGCCCCTCGTGCCTCTCTACACCTACACCTACACCTACACACACACACACACACACACACCATGGGGCTCCTCAGGGCTTTAACAAAATTAACTGTTTATATGAAACAGCTGTACACTCACATGCAGTTGTAAGAAATAATAGACATTTGTGTACCCATATGCCCAGACGCCAAAAAATGCCTTGCCATCACGTCGATTCCAATTTGCTGTGACCTGTAGGACAGAACAGGGCAGAACAGAACGACCCTGTGGGTTCCTGAGACTTTCCATATTTAACAGAGTAGCCTCAACTTTTTCCCATGGAGCAGCTGGTGGGTTTGAACTGCTGACCTTGTGGTGAGAAGCTCAATGGGTAACCCACGAGGCCACCAGAGCTCCTTGATCCAGTTTCCCCCAATAGTAACATCCTGTAAAAAGATAGAGCACTATCACAAGCTGGCCCTGAGGTGAACAGACACAGAATATTCCCATCACCATAAGCACCCGCCCCCCCACCCACCGCCTCAAGTCTTTCTTATTGCCCCCACACCCAGTGGCCACCACAACACAGGGGAGACAGGTTGAATTATGTTCCCCCAAAGGTTATATTAAAGTGTTAACCCCTGATACACATGGATGTGACCTTGTTTGAATGAAAGTCTTTGAAGAAGTTAACATAAAGTCAGATGGGAATAGAAAGGGTCTTAACTACTCTGGGAACCCTAGTGGCACTGCCGTGTAAGCGCTGGACTGCTAATTACAGGTGGACAGTTCAAACACACCGGATTAAGATGAGGCTATCTGCTCCTGTTAAGATTTGCCGCCTCAGAAACCCTCTACAGGGTCACAGTGAGTCAGAACCTTCGAGAGGGCAGCGGGTTGGGTAGTTTCATCCATTATAAGAAGAGGGGAGATGCAGAAACAGACTGAGGGAAGATGGAGACAGGTTGGCATGGTACCAAGATTGCTAGGCATCACCAAGAGGTAGGAGAGAGCCCCGGGACAGAGCCTCCCCCATCGTGCTCAGAGGGACTCCTCATGGCCTACACCTCGATTTCAGATTTCTACCTCCTCCAGAGCTGGGGGAATACAGAGTTCTGTACTAAACTCTTGGTAACAAAAGGCCTAGGAAACGAATCAGACAGCACCTACTTGAGATTCTGGACAATCAGAAATGAAAGCAGAGAGAGAGAGAGAGAGAGAGAGGCCTTCAGATACCTGGGAGGTGAGGCCCAGGGTCACCTGTTTGCTCACTAACGTTTGGCCTTGGCAGGCTGCCTCTGTGCATGAGTCTCTCCCAGACTCTTGGACAAGGAACGACTCTTCCATGTCTCCACCACCCACCATGCTCATCACCCAGGATGGCTCATTCAGTACCACCTGACTGTGTCACATGGTCAATGGGGTAGGATGACCTTTGGTGGCCCTTTTGTAGCCCCGGTGGATACACCTCATGACCTCAGTATTACTAGGTCTGCTGGGATGTTTGACGCCCAGAGCAGCTTCCTGGGCGGTGGAAATAGTGTCAAAAGCCAGGCCTCACAGCATGTCTGGGTTGGGAGAGACTGCCTCTCAAGCAGAACCTCCCATTTTGGTTCCCACCATGGCGCAGGTACCCACCCCCTCCCCTTGCTGCAGTGCTCCTTCTGAGTGGCTTCCTCCCTCCCCCTCTGCCTCTCTTCCTACACCAACCCTGGGCTCCGCCACCACCAGCAACCCAGAAGGGTGGCACATAGGGGTCACACATTACTTGTCCAAGGTTTGTAGGTGAAGGCCAATGCTGAGGACAAGAGGAGATGGCCCACACGCCACCAACACTTGGCACAGCTTCCTCCTCCTACCAGGTCATAGCTACAGGCAGGAAGCCTGAGGCCTGGCCCACTCCCACAGCCGGGTCCTCAGCCCTAGTTTCAGGAAGGAGAGACTTGTGCAGAAGAGGGTCTGAGCTACTCCTGAGCTGGTGAGAAGTACAATGAGATTGCTCCCTGGCCCTGCAGCCAAGAACTTGAGTTACGCTTTCTTTAAGTGAAACTCGAGTAATAGCTTCTCTAGGATCTAAACCTTCAGGCCCTTCCAGCGGTTAATTTTACTGGTGGTTCCAAAAGCCCTATCCTGGCTCCCTCCTTTCCATCACCTCTCAGGACGCAACTTTCCAAGCCAGGTCTGGCAGGCCTTGACAGAGCAGGTCTGTCTCC